GGGCAAATTCCGAACAAATTTTCTTTAGAAAATCTGAGATTTTGTGTGTTTTGTAATCCGAAAATATATACAGTTGTGTTCAAAATAATAGCAGTGTGTTGAAAAAAGTGACTAAAGCTGAAAATCCTTCTAATAGCTTTTTATTTCCATCCACACAAATGCATTGGGAACACGACACATTCTATTCCAAATCACAACATGAAGAAAAATACATCAAATTTGTGTTGTTCCTCTAAAAAAATGGAAGAAAAGTGAATATTAGACGGTTCAAAAGAATCTCCGTGTTTGTATTCTTCTTTACAAACTCAAACATTCACTATATAAACTGAGAAATGTTTGAAGATTTTGCTTTCCTTTGAATGACTTCATGAATATTTGGTTGTAGTCGCACTGTTTCTGAGAACTGCTGTACATCTGTGTTGCATGGAGTCCCCCAACTTCTGGCCCCTGTGATCAGGTATTCCAGCCCAGGATGATTGGACCACATTCCACAGTTCTTCTCGATTTCTTGGTTTTGCCTCAGAAACTGCATTTTTGATGTCACCCCACAAGTTTTCTATTGGATGAAGATCCGGGGATTGGGCTGGCCACTCCATAACGTCCATCTTGTTGGTCTGGAACCAAGATGTTGCCCGTTTACTGGTGTGTTTGGGGTCGTTGTCTTGTTGTAACACCCATTTCAAGGGCATTTCCTCTTCAGCATAAGGCAGCATGACCTCTTCAAGTATTCTGATGGATTCAAACTGATCCATGATCCCTGGTATGCGATAAATAGGCCCAACACCGTAGTATGAGAAACATCCCCATATCATGATGCTTGCACCACCATGCTTCACGGTCTTCACAGTGTACTGTGGCTTGAATTCAGTGTTTGGGGGTCGTCTGACAAACTGTCTCCGCCCACTAGACCCAAAAAGAACAATCTTACTGTCCACAGTCCATTTCTCTTTAGGCCGGTCAATGTGCTCTTTGGCAGATTGTAACCTCTTCAGCACACGTCTTTTTCCCAACAGTGGGACTTTGCGGGGACTTCTTGCAGATAGCTTGGCTTCACATCGGCGTCTTCTAATTGTAATAGTCCTCACAGGGAACGTCACACCTTCTTTCATCTTCCTGGGGCTGATTGTTGGCTGAGTCCGCCCCATTTTGGCTATTCTTCTACACCTGCTAGGAAATTATTTGCCATGTAGAAATATAATTTCCACCAAAAACAGTGATTGATCCGGTTAGTGATGTCTGACGGCTATTATTTTGAACACAACTGTACATTAAATCTAACCAGTAGAGCCAGGTTTTCCTAATGTTTTCTCTTTGGGTTTAAGTAAGAAGGTCTGGCTTTCTGTGTTGCAGAGAGAAATGCACTGTAACCACTGTCTTGTGACTTCTATCAGTGTCCCGCACAGCACTGATTAAAGCTTGTAAGAGGAGTTTTCATTCTCCTCTGACTGTCCTGTGAGGCTGCAGGACCCCTTACTTCTGTCTGGATAGTGCTGATTAGCCCTGTGCTGATCACATGCACCCTCCCAAAGGAAAAAAAACTCTCTAACACATACACACTAAACTGAGCATATGTAGAGTGACTCCCAAGACTCTGTGTTATCAGGAGATGGGTCGGGGACAATGCAAGAAGGGGAGGATCAGAGAAGACAGGATCAAACAGCCTTTTTACACAATGCAGAGGATTAACCCCTTAGGTTCCACAGTGAATATAAGAAGCATGCTTTACTGCCTCTACAGACTGATTTTTACAGTTGTGGGTTTAGTAACACTTTAACTTCAAATGGACATGACACCAGTCAATATTATCCAAAATTCAAATATTGCATCCATATATCGAATTTGAAAAGTGAAATATAGCAATTTTCAAAAAAAACTGCAAAATTTTTCAAATTCACTGGGACCAACAAATATACGAAATGAAATGAATTCCGAAAATGAATTGACTCAATGTAATGAATATGTCAAACCAAAACTCTTCAATTAACCACTTGCCGTCCGGCCGCTGTATATAAACGGCTGAACGGTGGCAGCGCAGAGGTGGGTAGCCGTTCATAAACGGCGCCCAACATTTTGGATTGTGTGCACCTCCTGGGAGTGCGTAGCACCGCGATCCGGTGCCCGCTGTGTCCTCCAGACACAGAGGAATACCGATCATTGTACGGGACCTCTGTGTGAGGTCCCGATCATGTGATCACTGATTGGCCAATCAGTGATCACATGGAGTAGTAAGCAAGATGTCACTTCTGACATCATTGCTTACTACGTGTGAAATCTGTGAATGATCACAGAGGTCACATGGTACAGGGCTATTCACAACAGCCTTGTACCATGTGACAAGCTGTGACCAATCACAGCTCACACAGTATTTCTCATTGGCTGCAGAAATACAGACAGAGAGAAGGAGAAATGATTGCTTTTACTGCCTGCAATCAGTGTAAAAAAAAAAAAAAAAAAAATCTTCATCACCCCCCACAAGTAGTACTGCTAGGGTGACAGTATGTTAAAAAAAAAACCCATAAATATTAATAATAATATTAATAATATAAAAAAATAAAATACAAATTAAAAAAAAACATTTGTAAAACAATTATAATTTTTGGTTATCAACTAATTTGGGTTATTTGTTTTTACTAAAAAGATAACGGAATACATTTTGGCCAAGATTTATGAAGGAAGATTATTTATTCGCAAAATTTTATAAGAAAAACACTTTTTTTTCTAAATTTTTGGACTTTTTCATTTATATAGCAAAAAAAATAAAAATCCCAGTGGTTAATAAATACCACCAAAATAAAGTTTTATCTGTCTCAAAAAATTGCTAAAAAATTAATTTGGGTACAGTGTTGCATGACCGCGCAATTGTCATTCAAAGTGCGACAGCACTGAAAGCTGAAAATTGGCCTGGGGGCAGGAAGGGGGGAAAGTGTCCGGACTGGAAGGGGGTGAAAGTGTCCGGACTGAAAAGGGGGGGGGGAAGTGTCCGGACTGGAAGGGGGTGAAAGTGTCCGGACTGGAAGGGGGGGAAAGTGTCCAGACTGGAAGGGGGGTGAAAGTGTCCGAGCTGGACGGGGGGGAAAGTGTCCGGACTGGAAGGGGGTGAAAGTGTCCGGACTGGAAGGGGGGTGAAAGTGTCCGGACTGGAAGGGGGGTGAAAGTGTCCGGACTGGAAGGGGGTAAAAGTGTCCGGACTGGAAGGGGGGGGAGTGTCCGGACTGGAAGGGGGGTGAAAAGTGTCCGGACTGGAAGGGGGGGGAAGTGTCCGGACTGGAAGGGGGTGAAAGTGTCTGGACTGGAAGGGGGGTGAAAGTGTCCGAGCTGGGAGGGGGGGAAAGTGTCCGTACTGGAAGGGGGTGAAAGTGTCCGGACTGGAAGGGGGTGAAAGTGTCCTGACTGGAAGGGGGGAAAGTGTCCGGACTGGAAGGGGGGGGAGTGTCCGGACTGGAAGGGGGTGAAAGTGTCCGGACTGGAGGGGGGGGGGGAAGTGTCCGGACTGGAAGGGGGTGAAAGTGTCCGGACTGGAAGGAGGTGAAAGTGTCTGGACTGGAAGGGGGTAAAAGTGTCCGGACTGGAAGGGGGGGAGTGTCCGGACTGGAAGGGGGGAAAAGTGTGCGGACTGGAAGGGGGGTGAAAGTGCCCGGACTGGAAGGGGGGGGGGGGAAGTGTCCGGACTGAAAGGGGGTGAAAGTGTCCGGACTGGAAGGGGGTGAAAGTGTTTGGACTGGAAGGGGGATGAAAGTGTCCGGACTGGAAGGGGGTGAAAGTGTCCGGACTGGAAGGGGGTGAAAGTGTCCGGACTGGAAGGGGGTGAAAGCGTCCGGACTGGAAGGGGGGGAAAGTGTCCGGACTGGAAGGGGGTGAAAGTGTCCGGACTGGAAGGGGGTGAAAGTGTCCGGACTGGAAGGGGGTGAAAGTGTCCGGACTGGAAGGGGGGGAAAGTGTCTGGACTGGAAGGGGGTGAAAGTGTCCGGACTGGAAGTAGGGGAAAGTGTCTGGACTGGAAGGGGGGGAAAGTGTCCGGACTGGAAGGGGGGGAAAGTGTCCGGACTGGAAGGGGGTGAAAGTGTCCGGACTGGATGGGGTAAAAGTGTCCGGACTGGAAGGGGGTGAAAGTGTCCGGACTGGAAGGGGGTAAAAGTGTCCGGACTGGAAGGGGGGGAAAGTGTCCGGACTGGAAGGGGGTGAAAAGTGTCAGGACTGGAAGGGGGGGGAAAGTGTCTAGACTGGAAGGGGGGGTAAAAGTGTCCGGACTGGAAGGGGGGAGAAAGTGTCCGGACTGGAAGGGGGTGAAAGTGTTCCGGACTGGAAGGGGGTGATAGTGTCCGGACTGGAAGGGGGGGAAAGTGTCTGGACTGGAAGGGGGTGAAAGTGTCCGGACTGGAAGTAGGGGAAAGTGTCTGGACTGGAAGGGGGGGAAAGTGTCCGGACTGGAAGGGGGGGAAAGTGTCCGGACTGGAAGGGGGTGAAAGTGTCCGGACTGGAAGGGGGTGATAGTGTCCGGACTGGAAGTGGGGGAAAGTGTCTGGACTGGAAGGGGGTGAAAGTGTCCGGACTGGAAGTAGGGAAAGTGTCTGGACTGGAAGGGGGGGAAAGTGTCCGGACTGGAAGGGGGGGAAAGTGTCCGGACTGGAAGGGGGTGAAAGTGTCCGGACTGGAAGGGGGTAAAAGTGTCTGGACTGGAAGGGGATGAAAGTGTCCGGACTGGAAGGGGGGGAAAGTGTCCGGACTGGAAGGGGGTGAAAGTGTCCGGACTGGAAGGGGGGGGAAAGTGTCCGAACTGCAAGGGGGGGAAAGTGTCCGAACCGGAAGGGGGTGAAAGTGTCCGGACTGGAAGTGCTTAACAAATGCATCCAAAACTAAACAAAATGAAAATGAAAATTTTCAGCCAGTGAATGGGCCATCGGGCGGGCAGTGGGTGCAGGCCAGAACCCCCAAAGATCTGAATCCAGTGCCTTGGACCTAAGAACACTTTTGGGAACATCTCTTATCTCTTCTTCTCTTAGAGACTCCAGACTCGTCTGATAAATGGGAGAGGAGAAGGGAGCGCTGGGAGCAATCACAAAAACAACATCGAGAGCGCCCCATATCCCGCCGCTCCATCAGCAAAGAAAAATGGGGTGGAAACTTTGGTTGTCGCTGATCCCAAAATGGTGGAATATCATGGAAGTAACAACGTGGAAAACTATGTGTTGACCGTCATGAACATGGTGAGAGCGAGCAAACCTGGCGAACTAATAACCGCATTGCCACTAAAGTAGAATAAAAGGCAGAACTTGTTTTTTTTTTTAGTTTCGGGTGGAGTGGAGAGGGATTAGAACCCCCGTCAGGTACTTATTGCTTTTGGTGGCCCCCGTTAGGGAGATCCCCCTCTCGATTTGTTCTGTTTACCATTATCATTGAAAGTGAAAATAAAGAGAACCCCAAATTTTGGATTTTCCCCCAGAAATGTAATAGAGGGGACATTTTCCAATGGAACCCTAGCTCTGATGAGCTGGGGAGGGGGGGATTTTCTCTCACATCCTGTTTTGGCTATGAAACAGGAAGTGAAGGGAAATCTCCCCCAGTGGGATACAAATGGCAAAAAATAAACTGAGGGGTTATAAAAAAAAGGTTGTGCCTATTGTTCCATTTATAAATAACCGAACCATGATTGCCAACAGGCTGGTCTTTCTGAGTTTGATCTTTGTGGGGTATCGTTACAAAGTGGGCGATTTGAGGTCAGTTAAAGTGGTTGTAAAGGCTCAAGGTTTTTACCTTCATGCATTCTATGCATTCCCCAATACTTACCTGAGCCCCATCGTCAGGGGTGCTGTTGGAAACCACAGGGCTCCATACAGCCAACCTGAAAGGCCTGCCCTCAATGAAAAAAACACAAAAAAAAAAAAACAAAACACCATAGTTATGAATGAACACAGTGAGTGATCAGTACCGATCACTCGTGTTCATTCAGGAAAGGAAGGGGTTTGGAAATGTGACATATTTACCAGGCCCTTCCCACACTCTCCATCCTGAGGGATCCTATTGTCTACTGGCAGTTGCCGGTGGGAAGGAGGCAGCTCAGGGGGGACCTGGGCAGTAGGGGAAATGTATGACAAAGGGGGATCACACCAGATATCGATTGGATTTGGATTTCTCTTCTGTTCATCTAATTTCCATTTTATTAATTGCTAAAACTAAACAATTGACACTTCTATTTCTGGAAGCATTCCTAAGTTACTGCATTTTTTCACAAGCGCCTGTAACTTTTGCACTGTAGTGTATGTGTTCCTTCACTGGTTGACTCACATGTTGGGATCTTCTCTTGCAGGTTGCTGGGCTCTTCCATGACGCTAGCATTGGGAACAGGATAAACATTGTTATCGTGCGTCTGATCCTGCTAGAGAGTGAGGAGGTAACATCGAGAGGCACCTATTGACAGCCAATGGGGCAGTGGAACAAGAGAATAAAGGGAGGTAAACATGAGGGAGCATAGAGCAGTGTGCCAGTAGGACAGGGGTGCTTAGCCTTCTGAAGAGCGAGGGACACTTAAGTCATTTGGTAACCAGTCGCAGGCCACAATGAAGTAAAATAAAGTGCTTCAGATTTTAAATTTTTTTATTTTGAGTAGCATAATGAACATTTTCCTCCTGCAGCCGCTGAAGGCCAGCAGGAGGGAGAAGAGGAGAAGCCTGCTTTCAACAGTTGTAGGAGGAAAATGGAGAAGATTGTATATGCCGCCCCTCCTGTCCAAGTGTAACAGGGAGCAGGGAGGCCACACGGGCCTCCTGGAGCATAGGGGGCAGGGTTGCTTTCATAGGAGAAGCCTGCTTTCAACAGTTGTAGGAGGAAAATGGAGAATATTGTATATGCTGCCCCTCCTGTCCAAGTGTAACAGGGAGCAGGGAGGCCACATGGGCCACCTGGAGCATAGGGGCAGGGTTGCTTTCATAGGAGAAGCCTGCTTTCAACAGTTGTAGGAGAAAAATGGAGAAGATTGTATATGCCGCCCCTCCTGTCCAAGTGTAACAGGGAGCAGGGAGGCCACACGGGCCTCCTGGAGCATGGGGGCAGGGTTGCTTTCATAGGGGAAGCCTGCTTTCAACAGTTGTAGGAGGAAAATGGAGAAGATTGTATATGCTGCCCCTCCTGTTCAAGTGTAACAGGGAGCAGGGAGGCCACAAGGGCCTCCTGGAGCATAGGGTGCAGGGTTGCTTTCATAGGAGAAGCCTGCTCTTAGCAGTTGTAGGAGAAAATGGAGAAGATTGTATATGCCGCCCCTCCTGTCCACGTGTAATAGGGAGCAGGGAGGCCACACGGGCCTCCTGGAGCATGGAGCAGGGTTGCTTTCATAGGAGAAGCCTGCTTTCAACAGTTGTAGGAGAAAAATGGAGAAGATTGTATATGCCGCCCCTCCTGTCCTTGTCCAAGTGTAAAAGGGAGTAAGGAGGCCACACGGGCCTCCTGGAGCATGGGGGCAGGGTTGCTTTCATAGGAGAAGCCTGCTTTCAACAATTGTAGGAGGAAAATGGAGAAGATTGTATATGTCGCCCTTCCTGTCCAAGTGTAACAGGGAACAGGGAGACCACACGGGCCTCCTGGAGCATAGGGGCAGGGTTGCCATTGCTACCCCGCTGCTACACTAGTGGTATGGAGGGGGTGGTAAAAACCACCTGCCCCCCCAAACCACAAATGTAAATGAGCCCTTACTGTTTCTGGCCCCCTATAAGGTTGCTAATGTACTGTGGTTTACTCACACCACGGGTGCAGTGCTTTGCTATAGACTTCTATTATGTTTTTTGGGTGTGGTGCACTTTCTGAAAGTCACCCAAACTCCTGTATTCAGTTTGAGGTCGAGGGCCACATCAGAGGGCTCTGAGGGCCACATGTGACTTACGGGCCACAGGTTGAGCACCCCTGCAAAAGGATAATGTACATCACACACCACACCAGTGCTCAAGTGTTAAAGGCCATAAGGAGGAAACTTAACTGTAAGCTGAGAGGTTTGTAGACTATGAAGATGGTTGTCGATCAATCAGAACGGTGCCAAGGATCCACTTGTGGCTTTGCAGCCCTCTTGGGATAGGAGAAATCATTAATTCTGGATGAAAAAAAAATTTATAAAAAGGGCTCACCAGCCTAGTGCATTACCTCAGAGCCCTGATGAAGGGAATATTCCCTTGGAACACGTTGGCATGCTTGCTTTCTGCAGTATAGTATTGCAAAGGTCTCCTATATTGGTGGTTTAGGCCTTTGAGACACAGAGAAATCTAGTGCCAAGATTCATTTATATTTGTCGTTATACAGTTTCCTGAGTATATATATTATTATTATTATTATTATACAGTATTTATAAAGCGCCGATAGTTCGCTCAGCGCTGTACATTACAAAGGGGGACAGAACATGTGACAGAACAATACCAATACAATGCAAAACATGAGGGGATCGAGGGCCCTGCTCTTTTGAGCTTACAATCTAGGAGGGAGGGGATGGTGGCACAGGAGGAGATAGCTGTGGGGGATGGAGTGGTAGGAAGAGTGGAGGAGGTCGGCAAGTTAACAGGGGGTGGGGTAGGCTTCCCTGAAGAGGTGGGTTTTCAGGGTGCGCCTAAAGGAGAGGAGAGTAGGTGATAATCTGATGGGTTGGGGCAGGGAGTTCCAGAGGATGGGTGACACCCTGGAGAAGTCCTGGAGGCGGGCATGGGAGGAGGAGACCAGGGAACTAGAGAGAAGGAGGTCTTGTGAGGAGCGGAGTGTGCGTGTTGGGCGGTACTTGGATATTAGGTCAGTGATGTAGTTCGGGGCAGTATGGTGGACGGCTTTGTACGTCAGTGTTAGGATTTTGAATTTAATCCGTTGCGCAATCAGAAGCCAGTGGAGGGATTGGCAGAGGGGGGTGGAGGACACTGAGTGGAGGCCAGTGGAGGGATTGGCAGAGGGGGGGGTGGAGGACACTGAGTGGAAGCCAGTGGAGGGATTGGCAGAGGGGGTGGAGGACACTGAGTGGAAGCCAGTGGAGGGATTGGCAGAGGGGGGTGGAGGACACTGAGTGGAAGCCAGTGGAGGGATTGGCAGAGGGGGGTGGAGGACACTGAGTGGAGGCCAGTGGAGGGATTGGCAGAGGGGGGTGGAGGACACTGAGTGGAAGCCAGTGGAGGGATTGGCAGAGGGGGGTGGTGGAGATGGAGCAGTTGGAAAGGTGAATGAGTCTGGCAGCCATATTCAGGATCGACTGAAGCGGGGATAGCCAGCGGCGAGGCAGGCCAGTGAGGAGGGAGTTGCAGTAGTTGAGTCGTGATATGATGAGGGCATATACATTGTGTCTTTTATTATTAAATGGTGTTTTGGGGTAATGCACTAGGATGGGGCGCCCTTTTTGCTGGGTTTTTTAAGTTTTAGTAGGGACCGAGTGGGAACGGATGGAGACTGATACAGTTGAGTTGACATATATGTAGAGGATTCATAGCAATGGACAGATTGAAAGATTAGTATAAGTATTTTAGGAAACGTTTAAACTAGAGGGCGATATGACGATAGATGGGTGTTCTGTCTAATATGGAGGGCTTTCCTTATCTCTTAGGAGGACCTGAAGATTACTCATCATGCGGACAACTCTCTGCGCAGCTTCTGCAAATGGCAGAAGAACATCAATATGAAGAGCGAAGATCACCCTTTACACCATGACGTGGCTGTTCTTCTTACCAGGTGACTGGACACAGGTTACAAGAGTATGAGTGTCAGAGTATATGTATCAGAGGGTTTAGAAAGCTTAACTGTCGTGGTCCTACATTGCAGCCAATCAGATCCCATGTGTTACTGTCAGGGGCGGACTGACCATTTGGAAACTCGGGCACTGCCCGAGGGCCAGGGGTCAGTAGGGGGCCCCATGAGATGCCCCTGGTACCTTTTTCATAGGCTTTTTTGAGTTTGGGTAAGGACACAGGGGCCCCATGATCCCCTATTGCCCGGGGGGCCCATTAGTTGTCAGTCTGCCCCTGGTTACTGTATGAAATGGAAAAGAAGATTGGTTGATGTAGGCCAGGGTGGGCAACTGTGACCCTCCAGCTGTTGTAGAACTACAAGTCCCATGAGGCATTGCAAAACTGAGAGTTACAAGCATGACTCCCAAAGGCAGAGGCATGATGGGACTTGTAGTTCACCAACAGCTGGAGGGCCACAGTTGCCCACCCCTGGTGTAGGCTGCATGGGTATTATCCATTCTGACATTTCACACATGAGGGCTGAATTCCTCTTTCTGAGCATCTGCAGACCTTTCCTCTCCATTTGTAGACACGTTAGCCATACCAGTATGTTGTTCTACGCCAGGGGTCTCAAAACTTTCTAAGCAAAGGGCCAGTTTGCTGTTCTTCAGACTTTATGGGGGCCAGACTGGGACATGTGGGAATAAAAAATGCCCCGGCATCAGAAAACATAAGCAATGCACCATCATTGGTTTGAATGGAAAGAATAGTGCCACATTGTGAATATCAATGGAAAGAATAGTGCCCCATCAATACAGAAGAATAGTATCCCATCGATGGTGAAAGTTGGTGGAATTGTGCTCCAAGGGCCTGGTAAAGGCAAGCCAAGGGCCACATTGGCCGCAGTTTTGAGACCACTGTTCTAGACCAATGTTTCTGAACCTCATTCCTCAGGTACCCCCAACAGGCCATGTTTTGGGAATCTCCCATAAATAAAAAAGTTGTCAAGGCATTGACATTGAGGTTCATTTACTAAAACTGGAGCACACAATAGCCAGTGCAGCTGTGCATAGTAACCAATCAGCTTCTAATATCAACTTGTTTGACAATAAAACCTGGAAGCTGATTGGTTATGATGCATAGCTGCACCACATTCTGTGTGCTCCAGCTTTGGTAAATCCCCCTAAATGTGTCACATACCTGTACAAGGAGCTTGAGATGACGAGGGTGTTCTCTTGCACAATTCCTGTCCAAGCGCCCTTCAATGTTGGCTGCAGGAACAATGGAAGGGTGCAGGTGCCAGGAAACTGGAACCAAAGACATGAATGTGGGAGCAATGGTGGAAGGAAGCAAAAAGCATAACAGTGAGGGTACCCAGAATACGCCACGTTCAGTAGATATCAGAGTTGGGTCACAAGCCAAGTTCGGTCACAATTGAGCAGGAAGCCACCAAATCATGAGCAGGATCAAGGTCAGGAGCAAGCAGAGACTGGCAATGTGCAGGGGGGTACAGAGTCCAGGCCCAGGTTTAAATAGCACACTAGGCACCAGTATCTGTGGTGGACATGCCCGTGAATCCACCCGTGCCTGTGTGCGTGTGTACATTTATAGTCATGAGAATTACAGCTAGCATGACCTTCCACATGATGTTCCTAACACATTGATTTAAAGCACCTGTACAAGATGAAGGAAATCCTGGAAACATGACTTGTTGGTGGTACTTGAGGACCAAGGTTGGGAACCATTTCTCTAGACCAGCTTTTTCCAACCTTTTTACCCCAGAGGGAGACTTGAAATCACATTCAGGTCTTGTGGAACCCTGCTTAAATGAATAATTAGGCCTTTTGGGAAGAATGTCCCTTAAATTGTTTGCCAGTGGGGAGAATATTCCTTACATTGGTGGTCATTGGGAATAATGTTCCTTGCATTAAAATTCAGTGAGAAGAATGCTCCTTACATTGTGATCAGTGGGGAGAATGTCCCTTACATTACAATGGTGATCAGTGGGGAGAATGTCCCTTACATTGGTGATCAGTAGGAAGAATGGGGTGTCAAACGGGAGAATGGCCCTTTATATTGGTGATCAGTGGGGAAGAATGTCCCTTACATTGGGGGGTCAGTGGAAGAATGTCCCTTACATTGGGGGTCAGTGGGGAAGAATGTTCTTACATTGGGGTCAGTGGGAAGAATGTCCCTTACATTGGTGATCAGTGGGGAAGAATGTCCCTTACATTGGGGGTCAGTGGGAAGAATGTCCCTTACATTGGGGGTCAGTGGGAAGAATGTTCCTTACATTGGGGGTCAGTGGGAAGAATGTCCCTTACATTGGTGATCAGTGGGAAGAATGTGCCTTACATTGGGGATCAGTGGGAAGAATGTCCCTTACATTGGGGGTCAGTGGGAAGAATGTCCTTACATTGGGGATCAGTGGGAAGAATGTCCCTTACATTGGGGATCAGTGGGAAGAATGTCCCTTACATTGGGGATCAGTGGGAAGAATGTCCCTTACATTGGTGATCAGTGGGAAGAATGTCCCTTACATTGGGGATCAGTGGGAAGAATGTCCCTTACATTGGTGGTCAACGGGGAAGTATGTCCCTTACATTGGGGGTCAGTGGGAAGAATGTCCCTTACATTGGGGGTCAGTGGGAAGAATGTCCCTTACATTGGGGGTCAGTGGGAAGAATGTCCCTTACATTGGTGGTCAACGGGGAAGTATGTCCCTTACATTGGGATCAGTGGGAAGAATGTCCCTTACATTGGGGGTCAGTGGGAAGAATGTCCCTTACATTGGGGGTCAGTGGGAAGAATGCTCCTTACATTGGTGGTCAGTGGGAAGAATGTCCCTTACATTGGTGGTCAGTAGGAAGAATGTTCCCTTACATTGGGGGTCAATGGGGAGAATGTTCCTTACATTGGTGGGAAGTGGGAAGAGTGCCCCTTAAATTGTTGGCCATTGAGAAGAATGGACTCCTTTAACCTCCCTGGAGGTATTCCTGAGTGTAGCTCGGGGTAAAGTTTCAGCGCCACAAGCGGTAACCCCCCCCCCCAGCTACACTCGGGATTACACTGCAGCGTTGCTCTGGGATTCCCTCCAGCACTTACCTTGTCCTGCGCTCCCGCAATGTCCCCCCTGCAGTGTCCCCGGCCATGTCCTCCGGCCGATGCGTCTTCCGGGTTCTGTCCCCTGCGACGTCGGGACGTACGGGGGATGGAAATGGCGGGAAATTTAAAAATGTCAAAAAGTGACATTCACTCAATCCACTAAAATCACATAGTATAACATTCCTGTATCAAACCATTTCACATACATTTTGTCCCGAGTGCTTTGTCCGGCGCCCTGCCTGCATTTTTACTGTTCTTTCTGCCTGGAAACTGAGAAACGTCCATGGCGTCCAAAAAGTGTCCCTTTAGGTCAGAAGCGGTTTTAGACCGGCTAGAGAACAGCGATAGTAAATCAGAACCACTTGCAGAATTGAGTGATAATGATTGGTGGGGGAAATTCCTCATCAGACACTGAAAACGATTCTGCGACTGAGCTCAGCGATGTGCGAACTTGGCGCTCTATTTCACATTTCAGTGTTTTTGGTTTGATTATATTATTGAATTAAATGTATTATTATTATATTATTTTTTATGATTATGTATTAAATTATAATTTATGATTTCGTGTTTCAAGTTTTATCCTCCCCGGGATGTTTACTAGACTCTTGCTCGGACAGATTTCAGTGAGTTATTCCTAGAAATGACAGGCCTACAATAAAAAAAACGACCATGCAAAAAAATGTACTGCTTTGAGCACAGCAATATGGACATAATCAGACCGCTAGGGAGGTTAAAATGTTGGTTAGAATGGTACCCTTACTGTACAAACAACTAAAAAGATCATTGCTCTGTGCCAAGTGGCTTTGGATCCAGAAATATGTAGGCACCATCAAATGAGAGGTCAGTCAACCATGACCCAAGGACCCCTGAGAACTTCTGGAGAAACCCTGGTTGAGAATGACTGTTCTAGACCATCATTTTTTTAATCTAAGTTTTACAGATATTGACAAATGTGAAAAATGGGCAACCAGTTACAAAGACCTATATGCTTTTCTAATGTAGTCAGTGCAGAAATCTTCAGTGTCCAGATACAACTATAGGTTGCAAGTCAGTGCTAATAGCTGTGTTTCTTGTTGCTACAGAAGAGACATCTGTGCCTCTATGAATCGCCCATGTGAAACCCTTGGTCTTTCCCATGTGTCTGGCATGTGCCAAGCTCACCGGAGCTGCAACATTAATGAAGACACAGGTCTGCCCTCAGCATTCACAGTCACTCATGAACTGGGACACAGGTAAATAACCTGCAGATGTTATCTTAAACTCTTAGGGGTTCTATATATAAAATATATCTCTATCTCCCATCTAAAACAATGTGTATGAAAAATGTTACTTTGTATCTATTTCCTGTCAGAACAATGTTCATTAATGTTGTGACTTTGTATCTCTATCTCCCATCTGATCAATGTTTATAAACAATGTTACTTTGTATCTCTCTATCTCCCATCTGATCAATGTTTATAAACAATGTTACTTTGTATCTCTCTATCTCCCGTCTGATCGATGTTTATAAACAATGTTACTTTGTATTTCTCTCTATCTCCCGTCTGATCGATGTTTATAAACAATGTTACTTTGTATCTTTCTATCTCCCGTCTGATCGATGTTTATAAACAATGTTACTTTCTATCTCGCTATCTCCTGCCTAAACAATGTTTATAAACAATGTTACTTTGTATCTTTCTATCTCCCATCTGATCGATGTTTATAAACAATGTTACTTTCTATCTCTCTATCTCCCATCTGAACAATGTTTATAAACAATGTTACTTTGTATTTCTCTATCTCCCGCCTGAACAATATTTATTATCAATGTTACTTTGTATCTCTCTATCTCTCGTTGATCAATGTTTATAAACAA